TAGTGACCGACACTTAATAGATCCTCAATAATTTTTTATCAAATGAGTGAATAAATGAATGAATGAGCAAATGGAAAATAGATACATGGTTTGTACTTCCCCAAACTAAGATGTTACAACTGTACTAGTTTCCTAGTCTTAATACTGAAAGATAACTACCCAGCTTTCTGAGGTTTGAGGATGGCCAACATGCCTAGTGCTGTTAATGGATTTAACACGTATCCAGGACAAATGCCTGCATTATTGACTTTGCCAGAGCTCATGCCTGTGATCCTAGCTACTTAGGAGATCTGAGGATTGTGGTTCTAAGCCAGTCTAGGCAGGAAAGTCCATGAGACTCTTATCTCCAATTAACTGCTAAAAAAGCTGAAAGTGGAGATGTGGATTTGTTCTCCGTCCTCTATCCCCATGGGCAACTCTGAGGTAGTTGATACACTTGGAGGAAAGAAGCTACAGAAGAGGAAGAAAGTGCCATGGAGGTGAGATCTGGAGCAGTCGAAGGCTTCCAGGAAGAGAAGGGCTTTGAGCCAGGCAGGTGGTTCTAGAAGTTGAAATTGCTTATCAGAGGAGAGAATAAGATTGGACAGAACTTTCTATGCCAGTCTTCATGGTGGGGTCCTTGGAAGTTGCACTCAGAACTCTATTGAAACTCCCTTCCCAACTACCATCTCTACTCTTTGGGTGCTTCTGAGCTGGGAACTAACTCAAGTTGTTTAGTAAGATGTGTTGAGAGTCAGGATTTTACAGTCTCTTCCCCAAGATGGAAGACTCTGAACCTAGTTAAGTGGGGACAATGTCTCCAAATCAAAGGGGAGGCAGGAAGATTTAGGAGCCAAGAACAGGGGAGTCTGAGATTCTCAGAGGCAAAGGGTCCCTCCTACACTCAGGGAGACTAAAGCCCCTGAGTTCCTTGTCACAGCTTCCATTGATTCAGATTCCTGATTCAGGTTCCTGATTCAGGTTCCTTCCACTGCCCACCATGACCCCAGAATAAGCTTAATCCCTCTTCTAATTAAACACTTGATTAGGTACTTGAAGGCAACACCCCTGAAACAGACCAGCCATTGCCTTTTGCTGCCTACAGGGACTGTTATATTTGATCATCACAGTTCTTCAATGCAGCAGATGTTTTTTAGAAAAATGGAAATTGGCTCAGAAAGAATGACTATTTTTGCCCCAAGGTCATACTAAATCTTAACTTACACCCTTGTCAACCTTGTCTTCTTCTGTCATATTCCCTTGAACTTTGTCTTTTTCAGGCTAAAGGAAGTCTCACCTCAATTCCTCTTGTTACCACACTTTGCTTCAATAGGCCAGGCTGAGAGGTCCTGCCTCCTGAGTAGGGAAAGGCAGAACCTGAAATAGTAACATTCTTGGGTGAATCAGGAGACTCTAAAAGGCTATAATAGCTTCCAGAAGCTTGGTAAAATATACTGGGGGGTGCAGTAGATCATTCTAGGTGCAGTATGGGGATGGGGACCTCTCTTGATACGGGAAGAGATGGAGAGACCCAAGAGAGGCCACTGTGTACTAGGGAGTCCCTTGATAATAGCTCAGAGGGGAAAGGAGCCGGAAGCTAGTTCTGATAAGGCACTTAGAGTGGCACTTGGCATGACTATCAAATGCTTCCATGATGCAAGTGAGGAAATCGCAGTTCAGAGGGAGGCTTGGACTTTCCCACAGAGCAGTGGCAGAGCCAGGGCAGCAGGTTTCCTGGTCCTGGACACACCAATGCTGCCAGGAGCTCCCATGGAGGAAGCCTGAACCCAGCAGTACCATGAAAGAAGGCACATGTTTGTCTAGGTCCTCGTGAGCTCCCATCAAACTGCAGAGAGGAAACTTCTTTGAACCCTCTGAAGCCACTTACACATGGAGTAGCAGAGTAGACACAGTGGACACAGTGGCAGAGATCAGGGCCTGTCTTGTGCAGTGCTGTAGAGTAATAGTGTGCCATCACACAAGGCAGAACTAGCCTAAGTTCACACAGAAAAGACATGATGAAGTTAGGACCTGGGACCTTGTTCTCAGCTCCAATAGGGCCTCCTAGCTCAGACAGAGAGAAGCAGATTTAGGTGCTTGAGGGAACTAGGCTATTTCTGGCTTTCCCAACCCTTCCCTGCCACATAAGCATCCAGGACTCTGCAGGTGAACTAGGAACTGCTGAAATTCCTTCAGAATGGATCACCTGTATTGATTTTCCCATTGTGAGATTCTGTGCTTTTCACTCTTTACCAAACTATTCTAGAGAACCCAGCTCAGAGGCACAGAAAATGACCATGTACAAAGCCACAGAGGAAGTCACATTAAATTCCAAAGCATCTCACTGACTGTGATCTCCAACCACAACACAATATAAGAAGTCAACAAGACATGCAGAAAACGTCCCATAGGTTGAGAAACTAAAAACAGACTTTGAAGTCATCCAAGAGTGACAGAGGAAATCACAATGACATTTGTGAAATATTTAGAACTGAATGATAAGGAAAGCACAAGCTGTTTTCTAAGTCATTTCCTCTCTTGTTCCTTTCGATGACACTGTACCCTCCACCCAGCTCTACACACAGGAGGCTGACCTCTGTGGACTCTCAGCTTCTGGTGGGATTCAGCTAGTGTAGAAACCTGGCCAGAGATGAAGAAGGGTGTGTGGAAGTGAAGCCTTTATTTGCCCTTCTCATCTTTCCCCAGATGATTTCTGCATGCTCCATGTGCTATGTGCTTTCCCCATTAGGCCTAGTGCCTGTCAGAGTCCCCTCCTCATAACTCTCAGCCCTGGCACTTCCTTCCAGCCTATGGTTGACAGCAACCCACTGTCCATACCAGTCCCTTAGCAATACACTACAATATTTCTCTCCACCTTGACTATATCTATAAAGAGTGCCTTGTGCTGGGTGCTGCTGGTGGCTCATGCCTGTAATCCTAGCTACTCAGGAGGCTGAAATCTGAGGATTGAGGTTCAAAGCCAGCCCTGGCAGGAAATTCCATGAGACTCTTATCTCCAATAAAGCACTAGAAAACCGGACAAGGCACTGTGGCTCAAGTGGTAGAGTGCTCGCCTTGGGCTGAATTGCTGAGGGAGAGCACCTAGGCCTAGAGTTCAAGCCCCATGACCAACAAAAAAAAGGGGGGGGGCGGGGAGGAGGGGGAGCCAGCCACTGGTAGCTCATGCCTGTAATCCTAGCTATTCCGGAGGGTGAGATCTGAGGCTTGGGGTTCAAAGCCAGCTTGGGCAGGAAAGGCCGTGAAACCCTTATCTCCAATAAACCACCAGAAAACCAGAAGTGTCACTGTGACTCAAATGGTAGAGCTGAGGGACAGCGCACAGACCCAGAGTTCAAGCCCCATGACTGCCAAAAAAGAAAAAAGGAAGACCTTTATTAAACTTCTCAAATACTTAGGGTTTCTTTTTTTTTTTTTTGTCGGTCGTGGGGCTTGAACTCTGGGCCTGGGCGCTGTCCCTCAGCTCTTCAGCTCAAGGCGAGCGCTCTACCACTTGAGCTACAGCGCCACTTCCTAAACTTCTCAAATACTTAGGGCTTTCCATGTTTCCTGAGGACCCCCAGTACATAACAGCATTCTCCCTTCTGCCTGGCCTCCTGGGATGGGGGAAGGGCATTGCTGGCCTGAGGTCTGTCACTGTTCATCACCTAATCCCTTGATCTCAGTACACCAGTACACAGGCATACTCAGTAAAAGATATTGAGTAGGATAGCAAATTGAATGTGCATTCCCTCCATATGTAAATGGTTTGTCCAGCCAGACTAAGATTCAGACATAAAAGTAAGAAGAAATTTAGGCTGAAGCAAAAATAAGTGCCCAGAAAAAGAATGAGTTCACATTTATGTGCTGTATGTTTTTTCTTTCCGGCAGTATGAGCTCAGGGTATGGTGCTTTATGTCTAGGCTGACCTGGACTGTGGTCCTCCTGTTTGTGCTTCTCCAAGTTGCTAGGATGACAAGTGTGCATCACCAAGCCTAGCTACTGTGCTTTCCCCATAGCTGCCCCTGTCCAGCCATTGGTCAAGATGGAGTCTCACAGACTTTTTTCCCCCTAATTGGCCTCTAGCCTAAATCCCCTGATTTCTGCCTCCTAAATAGCTAGGATTACAAGCTTGAGCTACCTCACTCAGCATTATGAACTGCAATTCTTAAGAAACTAGCGTTCTCATGCCATTGAGCAAGCAGGAGGAGATCCAACGGAAGCCGACTGGGGTTATCTGTGTCTAGGAGCCACCTGTGGTCACAGCTTTCTCCTAGGCCCACCTGTTCTACCAGCTGTCTGTCTGGCCTTTCCAGTCTAGAAGCCCCTAATTTTCCCTCCTGTTCAGACCAAACCCTCCAACTGATCCCTGGGCTGGGAATCTGTTCCCAGTGGAGAAATCCAGGTGGAACGCTAGGTAGAGCAGACCAGGTCTGGAAGGGTTTGGATTTGGCTGGAAGAATGGAGGGGAAGCAGATATTCTAAAGAGGGAATAGCCCGCCCCTTTCTGGGGGAGGAGAAGGTGTAAATTTGAGTGGAGCTAGAAGAATCAACCCTGCCGCCTCAGTGGGAGATGTGTGATTTGAACATTCCCGGGAGGATCAGAGCGAGGAAACTCGCTTCATGATTTCCCCGGCATTCATTTCTTCATTCACGCGTTCATTTTAGAGGGTTTTGGGTGCCTGGTACGAGCCTAAGCTGAGACACAGGCGTGGATAAGCAGTCCCGATTCGCTATGGCCTTCAGGACAGGTGAGGCACAGGTGACTCCAGGAGGGCAAAGCAACCAGGATTTATTTAGCAGCTCTTTTGTTCTTGCTCTAAACAGAAGCTTGTCTTAGGCTTGTCGCCTAGGAGCCTCAGGGAGACTCCCGAGAGCCCGGCACGCGGTCCTTAGCAGACCCAGATACGGACTTCCCGGAAAGTGGGGGGAACTCCGCTTTTCCCCGCCCTTTCCCCGCCCCTCCCCGCCCCGTGGCCGTGGCGTGGCGGGGGCCCGGGGCGGAGCTGGCGTCGCCAGGCCGGTAGGAGGGCGGCGGTGGCCCCGGGGACAGGACCGCCGGCCCCGGGAGACGGGCAGGAGGGCGACCCTGCGCGCTGGGATGTGACCGTGGCCCGCGGAGGACTCGACCTCTCCGCCCGAGAGGATCTGGTGAGTGAGCGATCGCGGCCCCCCGCGGGCACAGCCAGGCCTCGCTCCCACTTTCATTTCCTCCGCGGTCCGGACGGGGCACCGAGGCACCGTCCGGAAGCGGACCCGGCCCGAAGGCAGTCTGGCCACAGCCTGCTGCTAACTTAGCCCAGGGTCTCAGGCTCACGGTCGGTCGGGAAAGCCCGGCTCCGGGTGGCGATCGCGGGGTGGGGGGCGTGTCTTCGGGAGCGGAGACGTCAGGCTGGCTCCTCTGGGCCCAGCGACTTGTTGGCCCTGACAGCTGGGGGTAGGAGGAGGGTCCTGGGGGGTGATGTGCGGGGTGGAACGCAGGGTCTTCCAATACTCTTGGATCTTGTTTCCAGTTGGATTCTGAGTTCAAGCAGGGGCTAGCTCTAGCTGAGTGTCTGTGCCGGGCTCACGGAGGGGCACGTGTGGCTCTGGCCCTTGGGGCGGGGGTGGGGGGTGGATAAATGTTACAAACAGGCAGTGGGCCTGGAGAATTCATTTGGGAAGCTCCGGTGTCCAGCCAGACAGTGAGCAAGCCACTGGCCACTCACCCCACATTGGGCAAAAAGGGCAGTGGGAGACGGGACAGAAGTTCTGTGAGAGACCATCAAAACAGGGGCAAGAGGGTAGGGAGTGAGGAGAGATAGGGGACATGGTTCCCACCTGCAAGCTGGGACAAGTCCCAGACCTGGAAGTTTTATGACAAGAGAGCCAACTCTAGCTCCATACTGTGGACATCCAAATCACCGAGGGGAAGGGTCAGTGTGTTGCAGCAGGAAGCAAGTTGGTCTGATTGGTGGAGAAGAATGCTGTGCCTCCCTCTCCCTTCCTCTCCTCCTATCTGCACCAGGCCAGTGCAGGAAAAACGATCCTTTTCTCTTTATCATGGATCGAGCTCCACCTTATCCACTTCTGTCTGTAACTTGCTCTATGAATGCCCATTCTTCAAGTCTTCTCTCTGGTCCTCAATTTCCCCATATGTACAAGTGGATTGAATCAGTTGGTTTCTCGGGACTGTTTGAAAAGGAGGACTCTTGAGTCTAAGTTTCTTGTAAAGCTCAGCCACCAACATTGTGTCAGGTCTTGACTTATGCTGGCAGCAGGGTGGGGACAGCAGCGGCCAAGGAGCAGCCTCTGTGCATTACAGGGAGAGCTGGACTCAATATGAGAGGCCACTGGAGGAGCCTGATGGAGTGTAGAAAGCAGCTGGCAGGGACCAGCTGAAGAAAATACACAGGCAGGAGAGTCTGGGTGTGTTCAGGGATCAAAAAGAAGCCCAGGATGGTTGATGAAAGAAAGGTGGGAAGGAGGACTAAGGTAGGGTGTGAAGTTAAATGGTAGGATGAGGGGCTGGGAAGGTGGCTCAGTGGTAGAGGGCTTTCCTTGCATGCCTGAGGCCTTGGGTTTGATTCCTCAGCACCACATAAGCAAAAAGCCGGAAGTGGCGCTGTGGCTCAAGTGGTAGAGCACTAGCCTTGAGCTGAAGAGCTGAGGGACAGCGCCCAGGTCCAGAGTACAGGCCCCACGACCAGACCCCCCCCCAAAAAAAAATTGTGGAAACGGTAAGATGAGGGACTAAACAACTGTCAGTAAAGGGTCATATGATTGCAGAGAGTGACTTGGGAAGCACTTGACCCACACAGTTTCAAATGGAGAGAGCAAGTGATGTATAGAGATCTCTTGTGGAAAATTCAGGTTGCACACTGGCACTTCCTTGGGAAGAGGATGAGGGGCAGGGATAGATAACAGGAATTTCCATGTCTTCAAGTTCCATTAAGGTCCTGCTGGGAGACCTCTCTCTTCTTTCCAAATGCTTTTCCTTGTCTCCATCCGGCCTGCCTGCTGTGCATGTAAGAAAGGATCTTTGTCCAAACATCTCTACTGGTTTGATTTGTTGCCAGAAGTAACATTACCCTCAAATATGCTAATTCTTTTAGTTACACCCAATTGCCACCTTGTTCCCACCCTCTCCACCAATCCTGTCCCAGTGTTATCAGAGCTATGAGAAAGGAAATTGCCTCACTGGCCATCTCTGTGGGTGGATGTCTTCAAGCCTCGGTGTGTGGGGCTAGAATCAGGGCTCAGAATAGCCAGGATCAGGGCTAAGTCAGAGTTCAGCCTGGAACCTACTTTCAGTGCTTATACTCAGCCTCAGTGCTCATTCTGGGGTCAAGGTCACTGTTCAATGTGTGGCTAAATACCAGTCTCAGCAGTTGAGTCTGCATTTCCCAATATCCCACAAGCTCACTGGAAAGGTAAGATGCTTAGAAACCTGACTGTGTCAGAGTTACCCAGCATTTGCATGAGCCAAATCCATGGTGCTACAAGGATAAGCCAGCAAGCTAGTGATAAAACAAGGATAAGAACCTATGGGGGGGGCTGGGAAGATGGCTCAGTGGTAGAGCGCTTGCCTTGCATGCAAGAGGCCCTGGGTTCGATTCCTCAGCACCACATAAGCAAAAAGAAAAAAGCCGGAAGTGGCGCTGTGGCTCAAGTGGTAGAGTGCTAGCCTTGAGCTGAAATGCTGAGGGACAGCGCCCAGGCCCAGAGTTCAGGCCCCATGACCGGACCCCCCCCCCCAAAAAAAAACAGGGATAAGAACCTAAGACACCTGCCCCTGCCCCCCAACAAGTCTGTCTGAGCTGGGATCTTTTAGTTCTTTTTCTTCTTTTTTCTTTTTTTTTCCTTTTTGGTACCAGTCCTGTGGCTTGAATTCAGGGCCCGAGTGCTGTCCCTGAGGTTTTTTTGCTGAGGGCTAGCACTCTTCCACTGAAGCCTCAAAGCTCAGCCTCCTGAGTAGCTAGGATTACAGGTTGTAAGTGACTGGCACCCAGCCGACTCTTTCAATTCTAAAAGGCAAAGCACACATCTCTGAATCTAGATGGGCCTAGCTGGATAGTTTGGCTGCACTCACATCCCAATGCTAGGCCCATACTAGGTGTGCTAGGAATCTAATGTCAGGTGCAGGGAGAGAGCCAGTGGCTGGAGGAGGCCAGCACCGAAAAGGGATCTCCAGTCTTTGTCAGAGGAAGTAGCACTCTTGAAGGCTTGCACCCTCCCCCAGCACTTACAGCCACACTCAGAGGTCACCCAGCTGGCCAAGTAAGGGCCTTTTCCTCATTCAGGGCAAAGAAAAAGGAAAGGACATATTTAGTAGAAAAGTCCTTCTTGCTCCCTGGGAATCCCCGGTGGCCGGATGGACGTTGGGATATCCCGGAGGAAGCTGACGGCCAAGGCCCTCCCCTTTCCCCTGCACAATGAAGCAAAGCTCTCCCACCCTGCACAGCTGGCCTGTGGGGTTCCCTGAGGTCATCTTGTACAGGCCCCAGTCTCCTGGTGGACCTGTAATGGCCTCTGCTATCTCTGTCATGATCAACAGCAAGTCCCAAGAGCACCTGAGTGAAGCCCACACCTTACCCTCTGTAAGATGCTCTATAAATAAAATGGAAGGCTTGTGGGGATGCAGCACAGGAGCTACAATAGCCTGGAAAGAGGGTGAGGCACTGGACCTTGGGGATAAGGATTTTGATTTCAGTAAAAGATGCAGAAGTTGTCTCAAGGCTGACAAATAAGAGGGAAATGAGGTATTGGGAAATCAAAGTTTAACTGATAAGGCTCTGACCACCTGCTGCTCTTATCCTTGACAGAACATCTTCAGGACCCTACCCTTGGATTCTTAGCTCAGCCAGGCACTGGCCATGGCACTGTGCCTAAAGCAGGTGTTTGCTAAGGACAAGACATTCCGGCCAAGGAAGCGCTTTGAGCCAGGCACACAACGCTTTGAGCTGTATAAGAAGGCCCAAGCATCACTCAAGTCTGGACTGGACCTGCGCAGTGTGGTGAGGCTGCCGCCTGGGGAGAACATTGATGACTGGATTGCTGTGCACGTTGTGGACTTCTTCAACCGCATCAACCTCATCTACGGGACCATGGCTGAGCACTGCAATGAGGTCAGCTGCCCAGTCATGGCTGGTGGGCCCCGATACGAGTACCGCTGGCAGGATGAACGCCAGTACCGGAGGCCTGCCAAGCTCTCAGCACCACACTATATGGCCTTGCTTATGGACTGGATTGAGGGCCTCATCAATGACGAGGATGTCTTTCCTACGCGTGTTGGTAAGCATCACCTGGCTAGAAGGTTAGCCTGGCCAGGAAGGATGGGAGCTACCACAGAAGGGTCATAGTCTAATATAAGGACCTCTGGGTGATAGAGGATTTTCATCCTCATTTAGTAGAAGTGGGAATGAGTTTAGGCAGGTTAAGTATCTTTTTAAAGGTCAAACACTTAACTATAGCTGCCTGACTCCTGCTTGGGGCTCTTCTTATCCAGAGCATGAGTGTCCCACTCCAATAGGATACAAAATAAAAAATGCTATGATTCTTGGAACCTTCCAGAACAGGTGCCTTAAGGCTTCTCCTCCTCTAGCTGATCTTACTTCTAGTCTCTTGGGAGTTGTCTCTGGGTCCCAGCCCCAGGAAAGGGAAGGAGGTAAGGGTTGGGTGGGCCCAGCAGATAGCTTTTCTTCAGTCTAGGGCTTAGAGGACAAGCCCAGGCCACAGGGCCTTTTCTTATCTCCGCTGGGCTGTGGAGGGTGGGGAGGAGAGGTGAATGGTACACTCTGACCCTGCTTTCCCACCCTGGAGCAGAGCTTGCTTGGCTCCAAGTTCATCTGAGCAGCCCCACCTGTACCCTGGGTCCCACCTCCCCACCCAGGCTATAGAACTCAGCGTGGGTGGAGCAGATGGTGAAGCCCAGAGTGGAGCAGTCTGAATGCAGAGGAAAGCTGAGCACTGAGTCACAATTCAGTGCCCATGGCTCCTCCCCAGTGGTGGCTGCTTGTACTTTCATGCCCAACAACATTTTATATAAGAGGAAACTGAAGCCACAAGAGACAGCTCAGGTCTTAGGCTACCTCTTAAAGTCTAGATAAGGATGTAGGGCTGAGGCTAGGCTTGGAAGAGTACCCAGGGAGGCAGAGCTCCCACTTGAGAGCAGTAAGGAGGGAGGGAGTCTGTGGAGCTGGGTAGGCCAGGCAGGGACCGCATCCTGCGTTCTTACTCCCTTCTAGTCTGTATCCTTAGGCTTGTGATCCCAGTTATCCATAGCTTTAATTAGCTGATTGGATGGTTCTGTAGAAAAGCTGGGCCTCTTGGAGCAGAGTCTTTATCATTTACCTTTCAGGGTGCTGTAATGCAGTGTAAGGAGTGTTTGAAGCCTGCCTCCAGTCTGTACTAATTAATAATTAAGTGACATTGGGCATTTACCTATCTAGAATGACTATCAGAACTAGCTGCAGAACTATAAGAAGGTATAAAGGGCTTAGCTCAGGGGTGGGCTCCCAAATGGAAGGTTCTTTGTGTTATTATTTGAAATAATGAATATCTGAAGGAGTTCTTGAAGGAAAAAAAAATGTTTTTCAGCATGGGCAGCAGTGTAAAGAAGAAGACCTTAGGGTGAGATAGGAGAGGAAGGTCAAGTCACAACATAAAAGATCTAGCCCAGCGTCATGCTGAGATGTTAGAGCTTATGGCCCAGTTTGTATTTTTGTTTTGTTTTGGTGGGTTTTTTTTATCATTAAGTAGTTATACAAAGAGGTTACAGTTTCATAAGTTGGGTTATGAGTACAAAGTGTGCTGAGTGGGCACCCTGAGTGAAGAAGCCTCACAGTGTAGAAAAGGACAGAATTGGGCAAGATTTTGTCTCAGGAGGTTGATACCACCTCTGCCCATCTCTACCACCTAGGAGTTCCCTTCCCCAAGAACTTCCAGCAGGTCTGCACCAAGATCCTGACTCGCCTCTTCCGAGTCTTTGTCCACGTCTACATTCACCATTTTGACAGCATCCTCAGCATGGGGGCGGAGGCGCACGTCAACACCTGCTACAAGCACTTCTACTACTTCATCCAAGAGTTTAGCCTGGTGGACCAGCGGGAGCTAGAGCCACTGGTGAGGCCAGGCCCCCAATACCCTCCCCTGCAAGTCTATTCTCATGAGCGTTTTCACATCCAAAGGTCACCTGCCGTGAGAAACTCTTAATACCCAAGTGGCTAAATCCATTATCAAATGGATTCTGTACTTTGAGAGTTCGTTCAAGTGTCATTTTACCAACTCAGATCTGCAGCCTAAAGTTGGGGCTGAGGGAGGGAAAGAGAAACCAGGCTATTCACCTTGTGGTATGGGAAGGGGCTGCCTGGCAGACTGAGCTCAGACTGACTCCTCCTACCTTGTGTCTCTGCAGAAGGAGATGACTGAGCGAATCTGTCACTGAGCCCAGGCCTGGATGTTGCTGCCCATTACATGGACCATCTGAACACAGCATGGCTGGGGGAGGGGACCCTCTGGAGTCCGGTGGTAGAGAATCTGAAGGCTCATAGGATACCTCTGCATACCAAATGCCTCTGGACTTCTGGTTCTCAGAAGTTTGCCCAGGTGTCTTTCTGAGTGCATGGAAAAGGGGGGGCTTCAAGGGAGCAACCAAAAGAAAGAGGGAATTAAATCCCTGGCTTGAAGTCTGGGAGTAGGGTGAGTTACCAGATTGCCTCTCTGATACTTGACCCTTCCATGGTAATTCCCAGCCTATTTGGGAAATAGGGAGTGTAGCTAAGGTGATGGCAAGAAAGATGCAGGAGAGTGAGTGCTGTGTGTGCCAGTGTCAGTGTGTGTGTGTGTGTGTGTGTGTGTGTGTGTGTGTGTAATTTTGACTGTGTGGTGTGTTTTGAGAGCACGTCCCTGACACATGGTAGACTCTACAGATGATGGATGGATGGATGGATGGATGGATGGATGAATGGATAGATGGGTGGATGGGTGGATAGATGGGGACATCAGTCCATGACCACTGTAGGAGTACTGACAGCTAAGTGTTGCCACTCAGGATGTCTGACCATGTGTGTAAGTGCATAAAATGTGGTCACAGATGTAAATCTACAATTGAAACTTTCATTCTATCATCTTTCATTAGCATGAGACCTAGGGAGCTGGGTAGAAGTTGGAAGGGGGACTCGTACCCAGAGTCTCTTGAATCCCTGACCCACCATGCTTATGGTTCTGATTTGCTAAGCCAGACATGCCATTGAGTTGTCGTTTTACTCATCTCCTTTCCTCCAGGAGACCCTTGTGTTAGACTCCTGGGATCTGGGGATGATCCCATGTGTCCATAAAGGTCCCCTGGCTTTTTAACTGTGACTTGTAAATTCCAATCTAGAATCTATAGAGTTTACTTCCAGGATCTGAAGCCCAACATGAAACAATCGTTCAGCCTAAGCACATGGTGGGGCTTGAATTAGAAAATTTGGAGTCTTGTTTTTCTTTTTTCTTTTTTTTTGGTCGGTTGTAGGGCCTGAACTCTGGGCCTGGGCGCTGTTTAGCTCAAGGCGAGCACTCCACCACTTGAGTCACAGCGCCACTTCCTGCGTTTTTTTTTCTGCTTATGTGGTGCTGAGGAATTGAACCCAGGGCCTCAGGCATGCAAGGCAAGCGCTCTACCACTGAGCCACCTTCCCAGACCTGGAGACTTGTTTTTCATCCCAGAATATTGATGGGATCATGTAGCTGGTGGAAAGCCACTATACTAAAAGAACCTGCCTCTTTTTCAGCCAATCCTGAGACATTCCAGCTATCTAGATTTCCAGGCATAGCTATATAGAGAGTCTGAGATGTTCACTTAGCATCCCATGACTTAGTACCTCCAGCCCCAGCCCTGTACCCAGACCCACAGGTAGGGAAACTGAGGCAAGAAAGTGCTTCTGCTCTCTAAGATTCTCTGTCTTAGGAAGCCAGAATGGAGAGTCAGGAAGATCTGATAATCTTCCAGTCTTGTTCTCTTAATGTGGAAAGGAGGAAATTGAAGCCAGAAGAAGAAAAAACTGGCCAACGTTCGTGAGAGTTTCATGGAGCTGTATTAAAAAATAAGAGGTCTTGACTCCCAACTCAAGGTCCATTTCTTGCTATACAGAGATGCATATGGAGAGTCTGACAGACCTTTTCCAGGATACAACTGTTCCTGCTATGAACAAAGATTTCTAGCCTGATGCCAGAGAGCTCTACCACCCTTGGGTTGGCTTGGGGTTGACTTCTGAGCCAAGCTTCCAAAACCATGCCCTGCTTAATGGCCTAGAAACTGTCTGCCTGCCCTCTGGGAAAACAGATGGGACTTTCAGGCCAGCCACCTGGGCCTGGGCCTTCTGCCTCTGCTGCTTCCAGAGAAGTTCCCAAGGGAAACTTGCTGAACTGGGGGGAGTGGAAGCTGTCCCCAGAGTGGACTGCAGCTTACATGATGAATTCTAGGCTGTGGCAAGGGCTGATTGTAGGGAGGGATGGGGAGGGGAAATCTATTTTTGTGAAACATAAGGAAAACTTTATTGTTGTTATTTTTGGTAAAATAAAAGACGCAAACTGAAACAGCTCTGGGTGGGAAGCTGTGGTCTGGGTGCCACATGGTTCTTGGTGGACTGTGGGAGGGGTTGAGCCAGATGGGGCTCAGAGAGCTTTTTGCTCTGTGATCCTGGCCCATGTGGAGGGCTGGCCGGCATCGTCATGTCTGACATAACTCTCCAGGGTGGGGATACTAAGGTTCTCTCTTGGATCCAAGGATTCTACATTGGGCTAAGCTAGGATACTGGGGAGAAGAAGGCTGGCCCTTGTCTTTTGGGAACTCATTCTGGTAGGGAGTTTTTCCTTGTTTTTGGTCAGGCTACCTGGTATTGGCTTTAAGGGACAGTAAAAATACAGCCCAAGCTGGGTGCCAGTGGCTCAGGCCTGTAATCTTTCCTACTCAGGAGGCTGAGATCTGAGGATTGCAGTTTGAAGCCAGCCTGGGCAGAAAATCCCCGTGAGACTTCTGTTGTGAACTAACCACTCAAAAACTGGAAGTGGAGCTGTGGCTTGGCTCAAAAGTGTTAGAGCAGTAGCCTTGAGCAAGAGTTCAGGGATCTCTCTCAGGCCTTGATTTCCACTCCCACAATTGACAAACAAAACAAACAAACAACCCATTCCAACCCTAATTACAGAAGAGGAAGCCATTCTTACATTTTGTTGCTGGCTGAGGCCTAAAAGGCAGGGTAGATGAGGGGGGGAGGGGGAATGATAGGACATAGGGCTGTTTCAGAGCTTACTCCTCAGGAGACTCCTGAAACTCTTGGTTCAGGTCTTCTTGTCATTCCACTGCTCTAGCCCACAAACCATGCAGATAGGAATTAAAAACAATTTGTTCCTTAAGAATCAGCAAAGGCCCATTTGGAGCTCCCTTCTACCTGCAATGGAGCCAGCCTGGCTTTGTGCAGGGGCTCCCTTGGGAAATGGAAGCTTGAGCTCTGGTCTCAGCCCTGTCCCCAAAGTTCCATGGCAAATTCCCTATCTAGACCTTGAAATACCATTCTCTTCTTTCAGTACCATCTATTTCATAATCAGAAGTGAGAATGAAGGACTAACTGATCTCAGCTCCTTTATTACTCAGTATCAATAATAACTGTCTCTGGTACAGTTGTTAAGTGCTTCTAAAATCAAGTTTGTGTTTAGCCAAGATTCTTTTTTTTTTTTTTTCTTGGTCGGTCGTGGGCCTTGAACTCTGGGCCTGAGCGCTGTCCCTTAGCTCTTCAGCTCAAGGCTAGC